CATTGTAGGTGCTGACCAACCTTCCAGTGATAAAGTTCTGTTTAGTAAAAACCTGATGTTTCTGACCTCTGAAGTTAAGCAAAACCTTTCATGAATTCCACATAAACCAAAGAGTATGATTTGGCATCCACAGGCATTCCTGGGGAAAAAAAAGCAGCTAAGAAGCTGTGAATGCTCCTATTTTTCTCCATTTGGCATCAGCTCTTAACGTTAATTATATTTTAAGTGTTATTGCTGATGGTTTCTGCATAAACATTCGGTTAACTGTGTTTATCTTGAAGTCTGATATTGCCTCCTCTGCCCAACTGAGAAAGCTGCCAAGGCACACAGAAATTTCCAGCTTTCCATACAAGATCCAGCACACCCAAAGTTGGGAGACCCCACTAAAATGACCTCAGTAGGGCAGCAGGCACAGAGGTCCCTGCAGCTGCACCACCCCCTTCCCAGGGCCACAAAAAGCCTCCCATCAGGAGTTTACCTTAAGCTGCTTCAGGATTTATTTTGCCCCTTCACAGCAACTCTGCTGCAAAAATTTAGGTCACAATTCCTTCAAGGGTACACGTACATGGGCACTTATTTAAAGCTCAAGGAAATTAATTAAAAGCTCCTCACTGACTTCAATGTGCATTGAATCAGGACCTGGATGAGTTCAGAGGCAAAACAATTACACTTTAATTAAACATCTTCACCTTCCTGTGAAGTAGTCAACTAATTTTATAGAAGCATAAACTGAGTCAGAAGGTTTCAGAGCTTGGTTGTGGTCATAAACAGAGTTGATTACTTAAGTTGCTTCCTTACTTGTGAGCTGCCCTTGGAACACCGAGAAAATGGACATGCTGAAAATATCAAATAAATTCCTGGACTGTGTATTTGCAAGAAATAAGAGAGAACATCCAGAGACAAGTGGAATGGTTGTACAAATCTATTGGCTCCATCTCTGTTCCCCAATTAGTAGCTAATTTAGTCAGTCACAGGAATCCCAATCATGCAAGAAGTTGAAATTATTAGGGTTTTTTTCATGGCAGTTTATCTTCAACTGAGAATCTGGGAATTTCAGGCTGGTTTCTTTTGGTTTGTTTTTAAAATAGCATTAATAATTACATCTTCTTTTTTAAAAAAAAGACTAGGCTTGGCAGATTTGATAGTCTGTAAAGCCTTGGAAGTACTTACTGAAAAGCAAGAAGTATGACCACACTCCCTGAATTCAGACTGACACTGAAGCCACACATGAGCTCTGTAACGTTCTGTCACATCACCAAGAGAAGGCAGAAACAAAAATTAGCATTCCTCACTTTTTTGAGGATTTGTTACATAATGCTTCCCCAACACTTAGGCTGAAAATAAATCCTAGAGTCAGAGGAGTGTTCTCAAGTACCCACTAACGTTTTTTTTTGGTTATTTTGCTGATCTTTGGTTTGTTCTCACCTATGGCTTTGCCCATCCTGCTCCATCTGCTCTGTGATGCCAATGGAAGCTCATGGACAGGCCACAGCTCTTCAAAGGGAAAAAGATCTGTGAGTGTCCTCCATTCTCTGAGGTAAAACAACACTGAACAAAGTTGTTTGGGGTTTTTTTTTTTACCTTAAGAGAAATTAAGTTAGTTGGTAGAAGTTTTCAGCACATTTAAAATCTATTTACATGTCATTTCTCCCTCACACTTAGAAGCCAGACCCTCGATTGCCAACATTGCTTAGGACGTGGAGTAGGTGGCAAAATGTTTTCATTCCAATAATTTACATCTTTGGTGCAAATCAGCATCAAAACTGGGACTATTCGTACCTTTGTACACATGCAGTAGCTTTGCTGGAATTAAATTAATGGATAAATTAAATTTACTTTTCCAGCAAATCAGAACTTTCAAATGGAACAACAAAAAAAAATCTCTAATATCCGTGGTGCAGTTATTTGAAAAGAATCTTTCTAAAGGAATTGTGAATATGACTCATGTGTGGTTTCTGGTTACCTGGTTTAACACAGGAGACAAAAAACCTGATACCCACACCCTTTCAGTGAGAATCCTGCATGACATGACTGACTTCAGTCAGTCTGTTGGAAAAACAAACAGGACTAAGTGGCTTTTTAAACCACTTTTTTAAAACTACTGAACACTGATTTTTTGACATCTTTCTTGTGACAAATCAAGGTTTGTTTCTGGTTGAATAGCCCACCATACTGTTCCAGAAGTACCACACTGATAGTTTAAATAAAGGACATGACTGACCAGCTTTACCATCGTGACCACTAACACATCTGGAAATACAGAAACAAAGTAATTTACCCTCACTATCTGAACACTGAATTATAAGCACCTTCCAGCTCTAACACTTATGCCAGCTCCCAGAATATAAGCAATTGGCATATTCATTAGGATTGCACTTTTTCCCACCCCTTCTGCACTGCACCCCCCATGGTGTGGTGTAGCTGTAACAGCTGCCTCTGTCCCTGCTGCATTTCAGCAGGAAACCCAATCTGATGACAGCTTGCAATAAAAAGAAATACAGTTTTGCCTCTGCATGTATAGAAATATTTCTGATACCCAATCCTTCTCTTTTGGAAAAAACTCTCCTGGAAGTTTTTCCCAGCAAACCCAAGAGCAGCCTCCAAAAGCCCGTTGCCTCTCTGGGTGCATTTTTGATGCTTCAAACTAGGTCAGATGCTCAGGAGGGATGCTTTGTAGTCAACAACCAACCTAGGAATTGAAATACTTAGTAAAAATCAGAAATGTTTATGCCGGTTACAGATGACAAACGTTTTGGAGGGGAAAAAAGCTCATATTAAACGTGTATAAATAGATCTATTTCTCACAAGTTGTTTCCCAGGCAAAGCATCAACCTTTAAGAGCTTCACCCCATCAAACACGTTCAGGTGTTACCTCTGTTTGCCCATATGCAACTGCAGGATGGTTTTTAAATTTTGGCAAGAGACATCACAAGTCAATGTCAGCAATTACAAAATCTAGGTTTTGTTTCCGTTCGCTTCTGGTTTTGTTTAGAAAACACCACAAGTTGTTTTGGAAACGTCTCTCTCCAAAAGTTAAATACTCTCAAACTGTGGATGGGGGAAGGAGGGAAAAGGCAGGGAGCAGAAATTGGTACAGCTACAGATTTCCTGTAAAACTGGGACTCAGAACTTGCTTTCTGTGCAGCCCAAACACTCGTCATGATGATGTTTTATGTCTGGTGAGATTTATGAGCATTAACTAATTCTTCTTAACAGACAGAAGCTTCAGTTCATATGGTGAGAGCCCTCCCTGCCCACACCCTGCACTGCCTGTGCAGCACACACAGCTCCAGCAGGGCAAGCACATAAATCCCACAAGGATTTATTCCCAGGACTCCTGGCAGGCTCTGGGATCATTGCCCTGGTGAAATTTCACTACCACTTGGACGCCAAAAAGGAATCCTGAAAGCACTTTTGTGTCCTCCACAACTTTTCCATAACTTGTTGCAATGCTTAAAATGAGCTAAAAGAGAAAACTGCTTTGAAGCGACTTTGGGTCCAAAAGTTAATTACCAGTTAATTGTCCAAAGTGCCCTTTCCTCCTGCATTTGTTAAATTCTACACCCTTCTTTGGAGATTTACTATTTCTATGCACCCCAACAACTAAGAGAGCACACAAATCCACTTACCAACAACTCCACATCACCCTGAGGGAGCTGCCAGTGTCTACCAAGATGCCAGAGATACAATAACTGATGAGGCTTTTTCAGCTAAGGCAAAGTGAAGGAACTCCAATGTGTCTGAGTTACACCTGTCACCATTTTCCAGCAGAATCTGTTTGTCAAGGCAAAAGTAGCTTTTAGACTGGCAAGAAAATAAGTCTGTATTTTTAGAAGTAGTACTTTAGATGTAGCTTTCTGTACACCCCCTCACCTTGAATACCTGTACTTTCAAAATAAAACCCCCTGAAGTACATGTTTAGCCTCATTTTTCACCATTTACGTAGTGGTTCTCCTTCAGCAGCTATTTCACATCACTCATGAGCTCCAGAAATAACAAGGGCAAAAGAAGTTGAAAGCCTGCGAGTTCAGCAGCCAAAAAAAACTAAATATAATAAGATTTTGTAAATGTATTTAAAAGTATGTTCTTAAATACTCACTAAACATGCCTCTCGCCACACCACAGCCAGCTCACACCAGAACACTGAACAAGCACACCTAACCCGTCTCCAAAGTCTGCTGGAGTTCGGTGCCTTGGTTTGTTTTTAAATCCCCACATCTGCAGAATGTCTCCCAGTCATCTCACAGAGCATCAAAGCCCATCCTGTTCAACGTGCCAAGATGAGGGATGGACAAATAAACGATGATATACAACAGAGCAAAACAGTCTCTTCTTGAAGAGAAGGCAAATGTGAGTCTAAAAGGCAAATGTGCCCTGATGAAGCACATCTGGCTGCTGAGCAGAAAGGAGGATCATCCCTCATCTGTGCCCTGGAGCACTAATGCACTCTGAGCCGGGCAGCGATGCTGTCCCTCCCTCACGTACCTCCCCGACACACACGGAACTGCACCGCGCCAACAAATCCTGCCCATCTGGGCTCAAAGTTAGGGAGTGCTGCCCCAGAGGCTCTGGAAACACAATTTTTAGCCAAGGCAGGAATTACCCGCGAGGGAACCACTGTCCGAGAGGCGTTTTCCCACGGAGGGCCGGGATGCCGAGAGCATCGCAGGCAGAGGGGGCTGCCCCGCCCGCGGCCGTGCCCTGAGCCCCCGCGGGGGAATGACTTCACCTGCCACAGCACTGCGGCCACGGCCGGGCCGGGACACGGCGCGACCGGGAGCCTCGTGACGTGCAGCGATGATGCCACGAAATCAGAGAGGCACCTCCCGTACCTGCGCCGCGGGGCCACGGCCTGGCAGGGGCCGGGCCGGGCAGGGCGAGCGGGGCCGGCCCCGGCGGGGCGGCCGCGGGCAGCGGGGAGGCCCCGGGCGGGCGGAGCGGAGCCCCCGGGCCGGGCGGGCGCCTTTGTTGGGGCCGCGCACAAAGGGCAGGGCGCTCACCTGGTGCGGGGCCGGGCGGCCCCGGCGCTGCTGCGGCTCGGGCGGCGGGCGCTGGGCACGGGCGAGCGGAGCGGAGCCGAGCCTTCTTCTCCTCCTCCTCCGCCGTGACTCACCGCGGCGGCCCGAGGGAGGTGCCTGGGCGGCTCCGGGGGAGGGACCCGGCGCGTCCCGGCGCCCAGGGCAGCGGCGGCGCCGCAGGCAGCACCCGAGAGCCGGCCGGGAGGAAGGGGCGGGGACGGCGGGGAAGGGCCGGGGAAGGGGCGGGCAGGGCCGGGGAAGGGGCGCGACCACGCGGAGCCGCTCCGGGGGCTCGGCCGGCCCGACCCCGCCCCGCCATCCCCGGGTGCAGCTCTGGGGCAGAGCCTGTCCCTGCGGACGGGGGACAGTGCCGGGAGTGGGCCAGGGGCTCACCTCGAGGAACATCCCCTGGGCTGAGGCGGTGCCGAGCCTCCCGCAGCTCTGCTCTGCCCTCCCGGTCCTGGTCGGCGGGGCCCGGCGGTGTTAGAGAGCTCACAGCGACCGAGCCGCGTGAGAGAGAGAGATCGCAGCTCCGTTAGGACAGGCTGCTGCTCCATAGCACTGTGCTAAGAAAGTTAAAGACGCTGCAAAATTCAGTACAGCTTAACTAAAGCTAATTCAGGCAAATACAGAAAATGCCGACCTCCGACTAGAACTAGCGCTCGAAAATAATGAATCGCCATTTGGTCATTGAAGTACTCAAAGCAGTGAATTCCCATTTGGTCACTGAAGCCATCGAAAATAAGGTGATCCTTCACCTAGCTAGACTGAAGCAGAGTAAAACCCCAGTGGACACGGAGAGGGATTAATTAAAAATAATAATAATTATAAAGAAAAGATGACAGGAGCCACGTAAGGTTCCTCACCCTGCCCCATCACTCACCTGCACTGTGGTTTCCCACTAGGTTAACAGTTACTCTGCTTCCCTACAGTGTGCACTGGTGGGGCCAGAAAGGTAAGTATAAAATTCCTGGAGATAAAAATGCTTTGTGTACCAAGTGTTATTTAGTAAAATGCATCTGTTTTCTACTCGGTGTTTAACTTAATTGCATAAAAATAGTCACAGTAATGAAATAGGTGGCACTTCCTTTAACAGCTTGCTACTTAATGACATCAAAGCCCGATGCCACTGAAATCCAAACCCCACTGCCAGCTAATGAAGGGCTTAACATGAAAGCCTCTGCAAAGAGCAAACCCAAGCTGCTGACAGGAACAGGAATGGTGCAAATGTGCTGGGATCTGAGATCACTGGCACATACCCACAGCACAGCAGGCAGTAATGATTATTAATTATTTAAGAAAAGAACATAAGAGCTCCAGCGTAAGCTGAAAAAAATATGCAGAAGCATTGCTCTGGGATCCTCCAGTTGGATTACTGTTAATTAGCACAGTACATGAGTCTGAGGGAAAGATCTAAAAGCATCTTATGCTGGTAGGAGCGTATAATTAAGCCATCATTTGCATCTTTGCAATAGTATGAATTTCCTTACTGATAACATCATGGCACAACACCATCTTATGACTAAGTACTGTCTAGCTCTCCTGTTCCAATTCAGCTGGCTGACTGTACAGCAGTGCAATGCAATCTCACAGAGCATCAATTTAACATCCTGCCTTTATTTAGAAAGGGTTTTAGCAGGGAGGAACACCATAAGGCTTCCTCTACCCTGGGAGGATTTGAGATTTCTTTTCTTAGAACTGAGCTCCTGCCCCACCTTAGTTTGTTCCCCTCCAGCTTACCGAGGTGTTGGGCTACCAAGCAAAGTGACATCTTGCCACGGGTCTCTTGTGTCATCACAAGACAGGACAGATGCTCAAGAGGCCTCTTAACTCTGCTAGTTCTGCAACACATTTAGTAGAATTTTGTTCATGTCTCCTGGGACTGCACAGACCTTCCCAAGGCAAACACGGGATAGAGCTGCACTTGATCAAATCCATCACCTCACCCATCCCCACCCCGCTTGCCCCAACCACATTCCCTCAGCAGGGCAATGTTTGGAAGATTAATTATCTGAAGGTTAAGTCTTTCTAACATTTTTACAAGTATTGTGTAAAGGCTTGATATTGTTTTATAAAAATCTATCAGATTAAATGGATTTTTCTTTTCAGTCACTCCTAATCTCTCGTTTAATGAGGCTGTTGTTTGTTCTAGTAAGCCAAAACTCCATGAAACCTTCTCTGAATCCCTGCTTGACTTAGAAAAATTCTCTCAACTCACCCTGTCCTTCATGATCTCCAGTGCTTTCTTAATCAGCTCTGAAAATCATTTAGGATTCCTTCACAGCACAGCTGCTTCCACCCTCCAGGTCCCCCTGTATTTGTTGGCATGTCCCCCTCATTATGGGCTTCCTGCAGCATCTGCACACACAGGCCCTGCTCTCATTATCCCTGATCCAGCCACACACAACAACAAGGAAAACTCTTTCTCTCCCAGATGTGTGTGGTACCCAGTGAGGGACTTGTTTTCAGTCTGGAATCTCTTTTTCTTTTGTTAATCTCTCATATTTTAGACTTAGCCTGACAATTCCCACCCATCAAAATCAAGCTCTGATGCAGAAATGCTGCAGTGTTTCCTCAAAATTAAATGCAGTTCAACCATTCAACCCTGTGTACTTTTGGGACACTAAGAAATGGGGGAGGGCACAGCAGTCAGGTGAACTTTCCATGACTAGGGGCAAACAAAACTTGTGTAGATTAAAGAGATTATACTAAAAAAAAAATAAAAATTAAAGAAATGGTTCAGCTGCCTTAGTTACAATATTTTATGATTCTACATGGGCTGTGCAGTGAGGAGGTATGCAGAGAGATTTTCAAGGCATGAACAAAAAAGCCCTTTACTGTAAGAAAGGCTATGACAATCACCTTTTTGTTAATCCAGGCTTAGTTTGTGTGGCAAGAAACCTTCTCAGCTGCGTGTTTTATTCAAAACCAGAAGTGTTCCCAGATTAAATTTGGTATTTACAAAGTTGCAAAACACACTCTTTTACAATAACAGTACAGAACTTAGTTTCCATCTCCACCTTATAAGGACAAAGAAAAGCTGTTTACCCAGACATTACACCTCTGTCCACGGGATCTGCAGGTGGATCTGATGGTTTCCAGCACATCTCAATTATTACTGACCCAGTTTTGGAGGCACGTTCAAAACATCATCCTAAATGTTATCAAGCAGCAAACTATTGTGACAGCAAGATAAAAAAAATGTCCCATGATTAGTACTTGTTTAAATGAGAAATCTGCTATTAAATATAACATTTACACATGAGTGAGTTAAATTACAGTAGCTGTTTTGGTGCATGATACAGCAATGCTGTATCCACCAACCTTGTGTCTGTATTTCCTCTTTGGAGACCTCATTTTAGGGACTACTTATTCTGAAACATTTTTATTTATCCTGTCAGATGGTGCCAGGTACTTTGGGCCACCCTTCCAGATGCTCTGAACATCAGCACCTCCCGTTTCACTGAGGTGTTTAAAAGTAAGAGCAGAAAAATCTTGGGCAACATCAACTCCAGTAATTCTCCCCTCACCCTCACAGGCATAAACCCCTTTGAAGGTAAAGTTAAAAAAACTACAACCTCATAGCAAGACCAGGTGGCACATTTTCCACGACTCCTAAAGAAAAACTCCAGTGTGAGCACTGCCATTCCTCTCCTGTGGGCAGACAGAATTTAAATAAGAGTTAAATCCTTCCCCAGAACTCGGTGAGGATAATTTTAAAATGATGGAGGTGGGGGAAACTAAAAAGGTGCCTGCAGGCTGACTTCTATTTCTTTACAATGTAAAAATCCTATTTGTCCTTCTGTGGGGAGGGAATTGCCACACTGGAAACAAACCCAAATGGTTCTATGTGAATTTGCCTCCCATTTCAGCCACTAATGACAGAGCCTTCACTGCCTGGTCAGTAGGGTATCATTAACACAGAGTTCTCTATCAAAATGAATTTGACTTTTACAGGCAAGGTAACACGAGGAACTAAGGGATCTCTCAAGAAATCTTGTATTTTTCCTTCAAGACAAAGATAACTTGCTACTTTTCCATTCAAGATCAAAGAAGGGAAATAATACAAGGAGACAAAGACAGAAGAAAGAGAGACAGAGCATTTGAAGCTTCAATTTTCTCTCAAATGCTTTTCCTTTCAGATCAGTACAATCACCGAATTCACTCTATAGAAAAAGAAGATTAAAAAAGGGAGGTTATATATGGCCAAAAAAAAGGACTCAGGGAACTTTGCTGATGTGTTTAAAGCTACTGTACTTTACAATTCTTACTTCAGAAATAAAATGATAAACAAAAAACAAAGCACATTTTAATCTTCAAAGCCATGTATGATCAATAACAACTTCACAGCACTCGATATTCAAGGATCATAATCTGTATTTTACTCCAGGAAAGATGTGTACAGAATGAGTGATCTGCCAGGGTCTAACACTGAACTGGGGATGGAACTCACACATCACAAGCTTGTTTGTTAAACAACAAATCCATGCTTTCATTTAGCAGTTGTTCTTTTGTTACCAGTTTTTATTTCAGAAAATGATTAGGATAATAAATAAATGATGGATTTTTTTCCCCAGCTCCTGCAGAAACATTTCAGACAGTGGTGGAGGTACATCCCAGGATTATTTATCAAAATATTTAGCACAACACACCAGTTAACTTACTGTGACTCTGAAAGCAACCTAACACTTCAAGCAGGCCACTAAACTATTTGTGAGGGTCAACACATGAACAGCTTCACACCAGCAACAGCTTCCTTTTAAAATCACATTCATGGTCAGGGCCTCCTGCAGGACACAGCCAGTCTCTGATTTCTGACCCTGCACAGCTTTGGAGGAGGGAATTCTGCCCTGGCCACTGAATCTTCCAGTACTGGTCACTGATCTCATTCTCCACCTTTGTCCATCTCAGTCACCAGAGAACTTTCCAAGAGCAGAAGCAGCACAACGTTGAAAAGATGTTCAGTCCAGGATGAATTTAATAGGAATGTTCCAACTGCCTGCAGTACAGAAGCTTTGCAAAAATCCTGAAATATTTACAAATCATTAAAAAAAAAAAAAAAGTTTCTCCTGGAAACATAAACCTCTCAAAGGAAGAGGAAGAAGATTTCCATAGCACTGGGCTGTAAACTCACTGTTGGAGTGCTGAGAGATTTCATTTACATCCTAATGCTGCAAGGCAGGCTGGGGGGTGGGGGGAGAGAGTTCCTTAGCACCAGTAATGAGCAGCAGGGAAGAGGAGGCAGCTCCGGTCCCCATGGACTGTTTTGTTTGCAATAATTTCAGACTCTCTAATAACGCCTTTTAATAAGCTGCTCTCAGCTCTGGAGCTGCAATGAGCCTTTGTCAGAGAGCACAATACTGCCCCAGACAGGAAAATAGTTCTGACAGAATGGACAAAAGGCCCCAGTCTAAATAAAGGCTTCTTTAAAAAAAGGCAGGGAGAAGTTCCACCAGTGAAAAACAGAAATTATGCTGGTCTGTACCACGTGTCCTTTCATTTCTAAAATGCTACATTTCCAAAAGGTATCTATTAAAGCAAAATACAGGCAAGCAACACATTTTCTAGTCTACTCCTCCTAGTTTACACTTAGACAAACTTGCTCATTTATAGGGTATTTATGCCCTGTACGTGTACATGGACTGACCATGTTAATATTCTGTTTATAATCCATGCCATTCACTTAGTCTCCAAGTGACTGCTATGGGATACTGAGATTAACACTGCAACAAGCTGTCCAAATTTAACACCATTTCCACTCACTCAATTTAATGGCACTTCCCACTGAAGCTCATTTCTAGCTATCCAAGCCAAAGACATCTATATGATAGGCAAAACACGATGTTCTACTCCATTAAACACTGACAAACACAGGTCCAAAACCAGCCACACCACCATAAACTGGAACCAAACTCACCCTACACTTGGGTTTAAAAGCTGTTTTATAAACCATTACTAATTCTAAAATAACTCAGTGTCATCCTTTTAGTACATTTACTTCTCCATTTTTATAATTCCAAGCACTAACAAAATCACTTTTTTTTTTCCCTAGGAATTCTTCTCCTTTTTTCAAATATTATCACCCATCCTTTTCTTTCCAGCAACAGACCTACTGTGATGGCAGTCACACATTTTACAGCTCAGAAACATGCCTGAAACTTAAATAAGACACGTTGCCCCAAAAAAACCCAGTCACTAAAACCAGCCCAGAATCTGCCCTGGATACACTGATCACCTTCATACAGGTAGAGATCTCATAACATTTCCCCTCCTTTGGAAGATCTCTAAAGAAAGGAAGTGCCAACTCCCTGTTAAAACACATAGTCCAGAGAACCCCCAAATTGCTGATGTTTGAACTCTTTTTGCACAAAAATAAAGTTACTTTTTTGCCTAATTTTTTTTTTTTTTTCAGATAGAAGCTTTATACTTTTCTCTAGTTACTGGTAAAATAAGAAGGGGAACAGGTATGAAATTAAGATAAGAAATGCCCTTAGTGTGGTTTTGTTGTTGCCAGTATCATTAGTTCAGCACTTGAACATATGGTAGAGCAGACCTTAAAATGCACATTTCTCGAGCTGAAAAACTTCAGGGAAATCCAGGCTTCCAACCAGCTCTTGACAAAATGCAAACAAGCACTTAACTGAAGTGTGAGGGAGTCAAAACTTAGGGAATTAGGTCCCTAGCCGTGATTTTACAAAATACAGTTTGTCAGGAAGTTAAGCACACATCCAGAGTCCCGAGTAGTTTCTCCACCCTCTGAGCTAAAGGTTCAACAGTATGAGATCTTAAATCCTCCTACACCGAGTTTATTCAGGATTCCAGCTCCTAAGGGAGGCACAGCACCTGATCAATACACTGAGCAACACTTGCACTGATCACATAATGGGAGTTTTCCCCCCTTTTAAAACCCGTTTGTACTTGCAAGTTATTTCCTGGCACCTCTGCAACCCCGGGAAATCAGGGCAGTGTGTGGTTGGACACCAGAGCTGAAGGAGGAGGTCACAGAAAGAGCCTCTCGTTGCCATTTCCTATCAGTTCCCTGTCGTTTCCATACACAAGGTTAAATTACTCCCCACAGGGCTGCCATTGTCTGTCGGTCTGGGCTGGGACACAAAGTGCTCATTCATGTGCACGGCAAACAAGCAGCCAAGGGCCAGTGAGCAGCATCCAGGCTCCTTTGGGGTCTTCTACAAACAGTTTGTAGGAAGATGGCATTCCAAATAAACCAAGTCCATTTTCAAAGCTTCAGTGCTGTCCTAGTACAAACTACTTAGTGGGGAGTCCAGACAAAAATTAAGACAACGTGAAGAATCACCCAAAAAACCACTCACCGGGACTGCTCCTGAAAAAGATCTGCTTGCCACAACCACATGCAAAAAGATGAAGTTTTTAATAGTTAGAGAAATACACATTCAGAAAAGTTCAAAACAGCTGATTCTTTCCCAAGACAGACATACCATGCTTTTGTTTCTAGAGTTCCACTCAGTGTTCAGCCTCAGAGCTTGTATTACTTAAGGGGTACAGACACCAAGGTTCCAAAGTGCACTTAAGGCTGTTTACTTCATATCTTCTGGTTAAGAACCCAAGAGGTTTTAGGATTTGGAGTTTTTTTGTTTTGCTTTGCTTTTTTTTTACAACATGTTGGAAATAGAAAACCCAAATGCAGTGTGACAGAAGTCCAATGCTGTTGATAACTGGAGAGACACAAGCCTCACACACCCCTTCATTGCTTTGCCTTTTCTACTTCAACACTTGCTAGAGCAAAGACTTTGTCTCCTGATCCTATGAGGGGGGGAAAAAAACATTTTCAGTAAGTATTAGTAGAAACTGTGAATGTCCTTATGTACGATTTAAATCAAGCAGAACATTTGAGATGAAAAGAAATCAAACCTACATTGTGAAAACCAGAACACGAGCTAATGTAGAAAAATAAAAGAGACTGACTTGGCAGGTGTAAAGCAGGCATGGGCCTGGCTGGGATGGATGTTCCCTTTCCCCCAGGAGCTCTTGGAGAGCTGGGATTTGGGTTTGCAGCTGGAATGGTGTTGGGAACACACCGAGGTTTGGGCTCCTGCTGAGCAGTGCTGGCCCAGCAGCGAGGCTGTCACACCCCCAAAGTCCCTGGGCTTGGGTGGGCAGGAGGGGACATGGCCAGGACAGCTGAGGGTCCATTCCATGGCACAGCACACTCACAGTGAAAGCCAGGAGAAAGGACAAGGTGGGGAATTTATTGCTGAGACATTTGTCCTCTGAAGGAAGTTACACACCAAGGCCCCACGCCCCAGAAGGTGGCTGGACATCACCTGCTGCTGGCAAGTAGAGGATTAATCTTGGTTTTCCTTTGCTTCTGTGCACAGTCCTTGCTTTTATTAAATTCCTTTATCTCAACCCATGAGTTTTTAATTCTGTTTTCTCCCCACATCCTGCTGAGGAGGGGGAATGAGAGAGTGGCTTGGGGGGCAGCTGGTGGCCAGCCAAGGGCAACCCAGCACACCCAGAGCTCCTCACAAAGTCCCCTTTTGAACAAAAGGGTTCTCACCTCGCTTACACTCTCAGGAAGAGGAGTGCTGAAAGCTGTCAGAGACACTTTATTTGCACCCTGACCTAGTCTGGCACGTTCCTGCCATTCACAGTTCTTTCATCCCAGTTCTGACTGCAAGGCCAGAATGAACTGTCGTGCTGATTTAATGCATTTTATAACTGAACTTTTGATCCTGTCAATATGGTTAGAGGTGTGACAATCACAGCAAGAAGCTGCTTTAAAGCTGTATTTTGACAACGTGCCAATAGTTGCCAAATTCTCTGCAGCAAGCAGAGGAAAAGGCTCTCCTGAGGAGAGTCATTAATGCCAAAAAGATCAGTGTTTAAATGTAAGAGCAGCACCTCTGCTTCAGACAGACCATTCAAGCCTTCAGATGATGGGCAACACTTGGCATTTTGTGGGCATTTGGCCCTGGATTTACCTCCTGTGTTACTTTTTCCTCATGGATAGTGTATCAGAGCTTCATTGTTAAGAAAATGTACACCAACATCTAATGGGATGAATGTTTGGTTCATATTTTCTCTTTCAGAGGAAACCAGAGGTATTTCTATTAATTAGAGTTCAATGAGGCAAAGAAATTGGAAGTTCTGAGAATGAAAACTTACCAAGGTCAGTGGAGACTCTCTCAAACTGGCTCAGGGCTGTACCAGCATTTGCTGACAAGAACATCTCATCATCCCCAGTGAGCTAAATCAAAAAAGGCCACAACTGTGAACTTCAAACCTTAACTGTGAACATTCCCACCATCTCCATGGGCATGGACATGAACTCTGACAGGTTACAGCATCTGTCCATTTGCAGTTTTTAAGTGGCAGTGTTACCTAACACAAAACTAAAACCTAAAGATACAACCTACTTCCCCTGCCACCGAATTTTCCCTCCATGGCTCCTGCCAGCCCAGGCAGGACAGGATGTGCAGTGCCAGAAGTGCCTCCACATGCACCATAAAGTTTCCAGCTGACCTCCAGTGATCATTTGTGATGGAAAGGTCACACTGTACCTGAGCACCTGAACTGTGCAGAGGATGGCAACAACTTTTTTGTCATGTGGTCAGTACAGTGCTGAACTGAGGTCTAAGCTCACTTCCTATCACCTACTGAGGAAAGCAAAAACATGCCAGCTTTGACCATGTTAAGGGCCAATGACCTAGAAATGGTTCTCTGCCTTTAAAGTGACATTTGCACATGTATATTTTGCTTTTATGTATGTGCTCTGATGCCTTGTGACAGATGCCCATAAAATATTTACAGTAATGAAGCAGTAACCTACATTTGGAAGGTTCAGACATTCTAAGTTAAAAGTCACTCATTTAATTAGCCTCAGATACACATCCTTATTAAAGCAAAGCATAAGGGTGTCAAACTGTTCACAGTGTTTGCATCAGTTTATTAGTTACAAATATAAAAGTCAGGTACAGGCATTCAGGATGGTGTTGGAATGAAGGAAAACATATTAGTTACCTGCCTTTGCTGAGCTTTGTGAGCAAGCATCCAACTACTTAAAATTTTGCAGTATTGTGCAGGGAAACATGTAATTTTTACTCTCATGGTTCACATCCAGAACAGATGTGAAGCCACAGCCCTAGCAAGTCCTGTGTGCAGCAGGTTGCTGATCATTTTAAAAGATTCAGAGGTTAGGTCAGAGCGTGGTAAAGTGGCTCCATGTGGTGATCCGAGGAACTCATGCCAGGAGGGTTAGGTATCTTCATGCATTCAGTTCACAACCTTAACTAGACTTTTATGTATCTCCAAAACATGCTTTTTTATCTCTGACAGTCAAGCAATAAAAATATTCTGAGGGAAAGCCTTTGCTTTGGAATCTACCTGAACTGCAGCTCCTTTAAGCACTGCACTTCATCTTTTCCATTACATTCCTTCATTTCCTAAGAAACCTTAAGCACAGAGACACACAGCAACTCATTTTCTTCATATACCAGCCACAAAGAGAAATAACAACTTCTCTTCCTCCCTCTGGTGGCAAACCCAGGGCTTGTTCTGCTACTTATGGATCACTGGGGCAACAATCCCCTTATCCCTCATCTCTCCAATTCCTTTACCTCACACCAAGAGGTAAAGAATATTGTATTATATTGTATTATCAACAGTATAAAAATAAGTGAAGCTGGATGTGTGTCAAAAGCTTTGGATAGTTCCTGGTAAATAGTTGGGAGCTTTTATAAACATGATCCTCTTGTGCCAGCTTGTATGTGATTCATTTATATGGTCCAAAGAAAGCATTTTAAAAGTAGGAACAGCCTTATATAAATGTACAAAACTATTTGATACATGTTCAGCAGTGGGTGCTTCAGAAAGCCTGGCATTGGAAGGGAAGGACATTTATATACTACAAAAACGAGTTGCATTTTACCCTTTGCTCATAAAAGTCGTAATTTCTTATTTTAATTATTTCAAATTCCTCTTAAATATACAGACAGAGAACTCCATCACACCAACACCTTACCTTCTCACCAAGCTTCCTGAGGGCAGTCAGGATTTCCACTTTCTGTTGGGTGTACAGGTCTCGTGCCAACTTCCCAACCATTAAGTCTCGGTCCATCTGCACATCAGGGGGAGGGAAATAAGTCAAAATATATAATCTTCCCATTATTTCACTCAACACAACAGCATGAGAAATGCAACAGCCTAAAAATATCCTCAGTAAGCACAGACCCACAGCAGGAAGGGACAGAGCTATCTATGATTTAAAAGATGGCTGGTAAGCTTTTCTGAACGTTCTGCAAATACTCTTTACACTTGACCTTGGCTTACTTGATTTCTCCAAACTTGAATCTTTTTTCATCAAAGACTGATAATCGCTCAAAATTATGGATTCACACATCACTGGCACGTGGAGCAATCACGTTTCATTTCACTTTATCTGCATCTTCAGTTCAGTCTTAGATCTCTGAGTGCACTCTCCAGCCCTCAGTACAACCCCAAATTTTCTATTTGCAGTTTACTCACTTCACTCTCAATGTCAATCCCATTGTTGTTTGGAAGCAGGAAGATAATTCAAGAAATACACACTGTTGTCCCCGTTACTTCAATAAACATTTAAAATTGAACACATTCTGAAAGAGACCTTCTCCACCTCTTCATGATGCTGACACCAAGTTTTCCAGCACACTCGGTGCTCTCCTTGCAATCATTCCACACTTGAACCAGTCTGGCTCAAATAAACAGATTTTGCAGTAAAACAAAAAGCCTTCACCTCTGCCAACCTCGTCCTCAGTTGCCTCGGCTGCTTCTTTGCAAACATTCTAATCACTTCTGGGGTTTTAAATGCTTGGCTGATGGCTGCTTGTATTGCCTGCAAGGAAAAGAGCAAGAATGAGCAGGACTAACTCACAACTGACAGCTGAAGACAAGATGAAGGAGGGCTGGAGAGCATCATTAGTCCCCTCTGCATCATTTGATACAGAGCTCTTCTTCTTTTTGTATAACCATGGAAGTAAGATGAAAAAAAATACAGGACCTTTATGCAGGGCTTGAAGAATCCACTCATTAGTGCAACTACACTAAGAAAAAGCTGTGAAATTTTTCATTACAGTCCAGGTCTTACTTTCTAATAATTTCCAGCACTTTCCTGATATTAGCACAGTTTTCATGCCCACACTGATGGTTACAGCTCTTCTGTGGATAAGCATAATGTAAATGATGAATCCACAAAATCCTTTGTGGATTATCAAAATTATCATTATTAGATCTCCCCACAGTTATCTTTGGACAAGTCATGACCTCTCTGGAAACAAAATCCTAAGACACAGGGCTTAGAAGGAACAAATTATGCTCTAATTAAACACTGAAAAGAGAGAAAATAGATCAGAAGTTTGGAAGTCAGCATAAGATCAATAACATAATATAAATATTAAATATATAAATATATAATAATAACTTAAAGTCAGACAGCCTTTTCATTTGGACTGGTAGGAATCTGACACAAGTCAGCAAGAAGAGCACAGGAAGTGCTATCTTATGCTTTCTAACAAACAGGCATGAATTGTACTTCTCATGATATATATTAGCCTGGACTGTCCATTAGACCTTTTATATTAAATTTCTATTATTTTATGTTCTTTTTTCATATATTTAGTCCCTGCAATTACCCAGTATTGTGGTTATAATTCTTCAATATTTTTTCCCTTTTAAAATGAAGAGACCTATGCAAGTTCTTACATGTACACGTGTATCAAACAATAAAAACATCAGTTACCTAGATCTAGGTTTCACACAAAAATTACAGTGAACCACTTGGATCTATTTTCTATTTCATCAACTCCAGGAAAAATACAAACTATTTTTAGCAGCCCATCGTCCTTACCAGTTGCATCCCACTGAGCTCGTCCACCAAAGTCATATCTCCAGACATGATCTTCTTCAGGGAGTCGTTGAACTCACTCAGCTGCTCTAGAGTTTCTTTTTTGGTCTCCTCATACTCATCTGCATCCAGCTCCTCTCTAAGGAGGATCCAAGAAGACACATTAATTCACAAGGTTTAACCTGAGATGTCATATGGAGAAAAGGGCATTGGGGAGTATCACAGAGCTCAACTCCTCAGGCAGCAATGAATTCAGTTTGACTCAAATTTTATTAGCCCACAGAAAACTAATACAAGATCACATTAGTTTGTCTAACTTTTCATGTTATTTGTGCTAAAAAAACCCCAAACATCCATAATTATTAGACAATCCAAAACAGACACAAAAGCTATTTGCTAACTGATATTAAAAAAGCCCACAAGGAAGTTGTGAGTTATGTGAACAGGTATTAGAAGCTAAAAAGTCACACTGAGATATAAAGAAACCATTGAGTATTTCTGCCTGAATTTTCTTCAGATGAGAAATAAAATTCTCTTTTATTTTTAGATATAATTTTTACTACCTAACACAAACATCCTACCTAATTAAAAAAATATAAAGCCACAAGAAAACACAAAAAAAACCCCAGAAAACCCACAAGATTTTTGAAAAGTACTCCTTTCTTTTGCCAACCAGTTAAGAAAATTATTACCATATATAAGCAGCTATTTTTATTACCTGCATTCTTCCAGATCTTGAAGCTGCTGCATTAATCTGTCCAACTGCTCCTCCAAGTTTTGTTTTAGTTTGCTGGTCTCTGTTGTTCCTCTTGAAGCCATTTTCTGTTTTCACATGAAAGTTTTCACTTGTTACGTGACACTCCTAGGAGAAAGTACATTTTATTGTGTGTATCAACAACTATCAACCTATTTAAAATGCTCCAAATAGCAAGAAAACGATGTGGCATCTTGCTGATGGAACGCCTAACCACAACACCTAGAGATCCTTGTAGTGGAAACACAGAAATGCCAGGCTGTGTGTACGGGATTATCTTCGCGGCAAGAGGCGGTTCACCAGGGTAATAACTCAGCCACAGCACATTCAACTAAACGAGGGTCAAACCAAGTAGCAATTACTGAAATACAGAGGCCCCGCTATGTAAAACAGCAGATTCGCCTGTCCCACGGCCCCCCGGAGCACTGCTCAGGAGACACCGCGGCCGCAGGTGTCCCAGGGTCGGGAACGCCTCCGGCAGCACCGGGAGGGACGCGGGGCACTCCCGAGGAAGCCCGGGGGTCAGGCGGGAGCGGGCGCAGAGCCCGCGGTCAGCGGGGCATCCCCGGCGGTGAGGGGCTGCACCACCGCCGGCGGCCGACGAGGGAACGCGACCCTCCCGCCGGCAAGCGGCGAACGGGCCTGCGGGGAGGCGACCCGGGCAGGAGGAGCGAGATGGCGGAACTCCACATTACGCGGGTGCCGCCCGGCCCCGAGGCTCCGGCCCGACTCTCCCTCACCCGCCCGGCCCCGCTTCCCCTCTCCCCCTCTCCCCTCACCCGGCCAGGCCTCGGCGGGGCGGGCCCGGACCGTCCCCCCGGCGCCGCTTCCGCCGCGCCCGGGCCAATGAGCGCGGGCGGTGCCGGGCCCGGCGAGCGGGTGGACGGCGGGGACGGGGCGCGGGGGCCGCGCGGTGAGTGCGGGATCGGGCCGGGCGGGGAGTGCTGGGGCCAGGAGGGCAGTGCTGGGGCCAGGAGGGCAGTGCGGGCTCCTCGAGGGGAGGGCGGGCTCCGGGCGGGCAGTGCGGGCTCCGGGGCCCGCCGGCGCTGGGGGGAACTCGCTGGGACTCGCTGTGCGGGGTCGAAGCCTCTGCACCCCCATCGTGCAGACCCCCGCGGGCCGGTGTTGCTGAAGCGTCCAGCGATGCCCGCGTGTCGTGAGTGTTTAGCGGTGGTTCTGTTCTCTATACGTAGAATATAATAAATTCTATGCAGAATATACAACACAGTTGTGTAAACAGGTTTGATAAATGTTTGGCTCTGAATTGTAAATGAGATTGAGCAAAGCATCCTTACCTGTTTTGTCCCCAGGCAGGTTGGGCTCCAGAACGATCCCAAGACCTGCTGTAGCTGTATTTTGATGTTTTTTAGTGCAAATAGGTGTCCAATCCGGCTAATAGCAGGGCTGCAATCAGCACACACTAAATGCTGGTAGGATTATGTGTAAACATGATGAGATTATATATAAGCATCTGTGTAAGGAGTACATCACAGGGCACCTCATTTTTCCATCAGAAGAAACAGGGAAAATAATCCAGGATGTCCTACACTTATAGAATACCCAAGTGAAGGCCATTTTACTTTATTTTCCCATCTTAAGTCTTTGTGGGGAGATTTTACTAATATTTCATTTGCTAATTGGCATAAGACAGCATTAATTATTTTAAGACTGGTCTCAGTTTTATGGAGCTAAGCACCTGTGTGCAGACCTCTCTCATCTCTGTACAGGTGAGATGCTGGTTTGGATCCTGTGGTTAAACTGCAGTAATGGGATTTGTGTCAAGCAGTGCCAAACTATATGCAGTTCATCAAATCTACTGTTATTATACAACAAGAACAGGCCTAGTTCCATGTATAGCACAGGCACTGGCCAGGCTTTAGTCATGCCTGGTCCTAGTCTCCTCTTCTCTCCTGGGATGTGCAAATTGCATGGCTTTTCCCAAAAAGGTAGGGCTGTGTGAAGGGGATTCCATACAGAGCAGATCCCAGCTGTGAGGGTGTTGTGGGGGTTCCAGGATGATGTAACAGTGAAGGAATCATGTCAGGATACTCCTGATCTCCTCCCCTCCCCACAGCACCCATGCAGCTGTTTTCTGTGCAAACAGTGCTAGACAAAGGGTGTCAAATTAGGAGGCTGAGGGGATGTGCAAACTATGAGATTCTATTTATACTTTCATTTCTATGTAGATATGAAGCTCTGCAAGGTGAGTTTGGGAGGCAATAATTGCCTCCTTCTGAAAACTGTAGAATTAGCAGCATGGAAAGGGACATTTGACTGACTCCTGAAAAGGCACTGTGTGTTTTCATCTGAAAATTTTCTACTGTTTTTACACTTTTTGTTTTATAAGGAAAAAAAATCAACCTTTTTCCAGTTCTGCAGCAGGAGTCACTCTTTAGAAAGTAGGGTTTGCACATTACAAAGGCGGTGTAACTCCTTTCCTCCCGTTCCCATGGTAACTCTCCCAGCCATGTCCCTGTGAAGGCTGTTCCAAGCACCACCAGCCCTTCCTCTGCCGAGCCACTCTGCAGTAATAAAGAATATTTTAAAACTTTGTGAAACTCTTGAAAGCACAGAAAAGTACCAACACTTGCAAGAGGTGAAGCCTTGCAGAGCTGCTTTTATCCCAGGGCTCTTTGATGTTGGGACACAGTGGCTGTTGCAGGGTTTGGCTGTGATGGTGTCTCAGAGCTGTGAACATCACTCAGCCTCTTTGGAACAGAGACTGGATGTGAGGGTGACCTTGTGGGATTTTTCCAGGCAGGGATGTTGCTGTAGGAGCAATGGCAGACAATTCCAGACAATCCTCACGGATGTCTCAGACAATTCAGGAACAGCAGCAGCAGGAGGATGGCCTGTGCCATATCCCAGTTTTTGTTTGTTAGGGCCAGGCTGGGGAAAACCATCCTGGCAAGGCAGAGTATCCTCAGGGGAGAACACAGAAACAAAAATCTGTGTAGTTTGAAGAGAAATGAAATGATAACTAGTGAAATTTCCTGATTTTCAGCAGTTCTTAAGCAGCTTTCTGAAACTGAAGCTCAGAATTGGAACAGTGCTGTTGTACTTCAGAAAATGGGAAAAAAATCCAATATTTAATTGCACCTTTTACTAAACTTGTTTTATTTCACTCTTCTTCTATCACCTGTTCCACTGGTACACCTACCACTGACTTTCTGCAACACAAAGCAGACTGATTCTTTTCAGGTTCAGTCCATAGCACTCTCTTCCCACATACCATTCTGAATGATATAAATTACCACCCTTTACATTTTATATTACAGAAAATGTAAATAAGTCTTGAGTGAAGAAGTGTTAACACTATTCTCCTCCAGAATATTTAATATATTGATTTTATAGATCTTGCTGGAAAGGCTCACTGCAGTTTAGAGAAGCTTTACCCTAGGTCTGTTCCTCCCTGTAAGCACTGGAAGGAAGTTACTGAACAAGGAAGTTCCCTGCCCATGTGTCTCTTGGCAGTTGATTGGCACTGGCATCATGAAAAAGGTGCAAAGTTTTGATAAACTTTGTCCTGCAATCAGGACAGATCATCTCTCCATGTGAAATTTAAAAGCATGAGCTGCTTTTCTTCAGAGTAGGCAGTACACTGTCCTCTGTAGGCAAGCAGCCTGTTTGCAGTGATTTCATATTTTAATCTCTTAAAAATGCAGTGTCACATGAACAATCACGGGCTCAGTGTTGGTGGAAGTGTTCCATTTGATCGTGACATTTTATTTTCTGCTTATTGGCAGCACAAATAAGTAACAAACTCTTTTGTAATCCCGTTTCTTGTAGTGGTTGGTACCTGGCACCAGCATTCTCCCCTTGGCTCTGCCTGTGAAGAATGGCTATGGAAGATCCTGAGAGGAAGACTGAAGTGGTGCTGCTGGCCTGTGGGTCCTTCAACCCCATCACCAACATGCACCTGAGGCTGTTTGAGCTGGCTAAAGACTATTTCCATGAAACAGGTAGGATGGTCATTTGTGTCATTCAGAATAGCTTTGATAACTAGACACTTAAGTGGTAAGGTGAATATTTTGTGTCTGTGAGTGCCTGTTTGACAGGGACAGATATTTCTGGAAATCCTAATTAGATGTTGAGCCTGCTATGTGTGGATGTATCATACAAAATCATGTAGGCCAACATGAGACAACTGTCTTATAGACATGTTGCTTATTACTGATTTTAATGAGCTAAAGCCCAGTTTTACAGTTAGTTTATAGAAATCTGTCTTTCTGTTCTATCTTCCCAACTCTTTCATTGTGCTGCCCTGACCATGAAGAAGAGAACTGTACTTTTCCACTGGGCTGGCTCTCAGAGCTGCCATTGCCCTGAGGAATGTTTATGTCATAGTTTAAATACAATGCAGGGGAAGTAACATCTGCTCAACCACTTCTCCTGTTCTTGTGTGGTGTGTTTTTTTTCCCCAGGAAAATACAAAGTAATCAAGGGCATCATTTCACCAGTGGGTGATGCATATAAGAAGAAAGGTCTGATCAGTGCAAATCACCGAGTGACAATGGCAAAACTGGCTACAAAAAACTCGGATTGGGTGGAAGTTGATGATTGGGAAAGCAGCCAGAGTGAGTGGTTGGAAACACTAAAAGTTTTAAGGTATTCTTCAGCCAAGCTCTAAAAAGTCTCACAAACCTATAGAAGGATAAGCAGTGGTGTTGGCCTAATGAGTTAGATAATGGCAGGCTAGTCCCAAGTCATATAAACAGAGTCAGTGAATTCAGAGGGACTGTTGATACGAGCACTGAAAATGAAAGATTGCACCATTAGTCCTAAACATGCCAAAAGTGAGCCTGGGAACAATTTTGAAGATATGTAATTCCTTAGGCCTTATTCAGTTTTTGTGCTGAAAGGGTGTCCCTGGGGAGGGACAGAGTCTAGAACAGGGCAGACACGAGCTGTGCTGCACATTTGTGTATTTAAAGACTGGCATGAGAATTGTCTGAAGGAGTATTTTCTGAGTTTTATGGTTTTACTCTTTCAGTCATTGCTACTTCACTGAGATTCTTATTATTGGAACGAATTTTTATTAAAAAAACAAACAAACCAACCTGATTGTTGCTTTGAAATCTTTGCCCTTTGAGCACCATCTGACCGAGCTCTCAAGTCCCTGTTTCAGCAGATCAGCTCCTGGGTGGACTGTGAAAGTGCTGCAGGAGGAAGTGTGAGAGATGTTTTAGACCACAATATCCCTATTTTCTCCTACATCTTTAAAATACCTAAAATACATCTGTTTTTTGCAGGTACCATCATCAAAAGCTTTTACCTCCTGATGCCACTAACAGTCTGGAGGATGCTGTGCCCTTAACAAAGCTGGGACGAAAGAGGAAACAGGAACCAAATAGGCACGAACCCGTTAAAAAGAAAAATCGGAGTCCAGATATAAAAAGTTAAGTCTGTTTGCAAATTAAATGGTTAATGATACTTGTTACTGCAAGGGAATTGCACTTTTTTGTGGTAGCTCTTGGTTCTGATGCCACTGAGTACGTTTATTCCCTTAGATCTCACAGCATAAGGTTGTAGATCCTTTTAGTGAAGGGACTTCCATAACCTTTATTCAGAAAAATCCTGTATTGAGGCTATTAATTATAAATTAGATACTCTGAATCTTTTTTTATTTCGTTCCATTGTCTCATCTTAACCAAAGATACAGAGAGAGAGCCTAGAAATCAAATGTCCCTGTCAAGTTAGCTAAAATCTGGTGACCAAGCCCTGTTTCTCACTTTTTTTTCCTTGTTAAGGTGTCCCCCAGGTTAAACTGCTCTGTGGAAGCGACATGCTGGAATCTTTTGGGATCCCCAATCTGTGGAAGTTGGAGGACATCGCTGAAATTGTGGAAAAGCACGGCCTGGTGTGCATCAGCAGGGCTGGGAACAACGCTCAGAAGTTCATCTACGAGTCTGATATTTTGTGGAGACACAAGAACAACATTCACCTGGTGGAGGAATGGATCACAAACGACATCTCCTCCACCAAGATCCGGAGGGCCCTGCGGAGGGGGCAGAGCATCCGCTACCTGGTGCCTGATGTGGTTCGAGCTTACATTGAGAAGAACAACCTGTACAGCCCCGAGAGTGAGGACAGGAATGCTGGGGTGGTCTTGGCTCCCTTACAGAAAAATGCAAGTGACTCCAAGAACTAACAGGCACTGAACAACTAACTCACTGTCTGCTGGGAAAAAAGCTACGGTTCGGTGCAGGAGAGTGTTTTCTGGGGGTTGGTTCATTTTTTTTGGTACATAGTGGGCTAATTCCATGGCTTTAGTGCATCTGTAGTTGCTGTTGAGGTTTGGTGCACTCAAGGATTGGACCTCCACAATCTTTTTCAAGTCCCATAGTAAGATTTAAACATTTAAACATTTAGTCACAGTGCACTGAAGTGAGTAGAAGAATTCACACCAGCATATAAGAATTGCAAATTAATAAGCAAAACAAATGAAAATGTTCTGATTGGTTTTAATTCGAACTGCTCCGACTGCTATTTATAAAATACTAACACAAATATTTTTGATAACTTACAGCGTCTTAACAAAGCTATTTAATTTCTAAGGTACCATTTACTGGTAGTAAATCTGTGGAGCTGTAATTGCCAACATGTGGTTCATCTTAAAGAAATTATTTAACTCTATTCTGGCGGGGACAAATTTCCTCCTGGCTGAAGTGGTGCTGGGTACAGCCTGCTTGGAGCTGCCTGATTTTCAAATATGCAGCTGCTTGTTTGCCATCATGCAGTTTGGTCCCAGAAATGTCTTGTGCTTCACTCTTCTATTCATGTTTCCAGGGCTGTAGTTAAGCTCAGTATTGTTTCTGATGGAAGGACAAACCGACCTCAGAAACTGATGTATAGCCACTGATTTGGTAGATAGAAATTAATAATAGTGCCATTGCACTGATTCTCAGACGGTTGTCCCTTTATTACAAATAATAAATGTCTTTCAAATAATAAAATATCTTTTATGTTTGAGCCATGAGGACAATATAATGGTATATAGCCAGAATTGTTTTCTGTTACTGCAGTTGAGAGGAAATGGTAGGAAATTAGTACTGTACATAAGTGAAATGTTCTTCTTTGCTAGAAATCTGGGTTTGAGTCTAACAGTGTATTGCCTGTATTATGTGAATATAAGCTGGAGAGGCACTGTGAATGATGTGGTGATAGAATTCTACCTCCATTTATTTGCTGCCATCCCATTTTTGTTTGGATTATGTGCCTTATTACAAATGTCAAGGCTTCCAAGCCACTCTCTAATGGGTCAGCAGCTCTTTCATAGCTCTCCACAAGATGACTCTGGTCACCTTTTCCAGATGAACAAATCCAGCCCAGTGTGAGCCTCTCAGGGCAGGAGGCCAAGATGCTCTTGGGCAAGTCTAGAACCAGGGACACGTTCCAGGGTCATAACTGCCTGAGCTGACTGCAGACAACTGTACTGGTGATGGGGCCTGGGAAAGGGCCCATCTCCTTTCCTCTCTTGCTCACTGTCTGTCTTTAGGACTGATGAGAACAGAGGGCAGGAAGGAGTTACTTTGAGCCCTCAAGTCAAGCAGTGTGCTGCTGAATAAACAGCAGATCCTTCTAATGGGACAGCACCCTGTTGAGGTGGTCATTTTTCAGAGTAAAACTGCACTTTAAGTCTAGGTTTATTCTTCTTAACAATGATGCTGGTGTGTGTTGGTGCTCTTTGTGTAATTGTAGAGAAACTGCAAATTCAGTAGGATTTCTTTATAAAGCTTTGGTCTTCAGTTTTATTTCGCTGGAGTTTAATGTGTGGTGAGTCTTTCAATAAAATAAATTGCATGTAATATGCTAATTTTAGTCATCCTGTTGTTCACTATATCTGATGTCTGACGACTGCATGATTTTTAAGAGGCAGAACGATGTTAGTGCAGTTTGGTCTATACAAACCAGAATATTGCACCACAAGCAGTGATGTGACTGTTCAAAGATGTCAGACAGGTATAACTTTCAGGAGTGGACTCTCCACACCCCTGACTATCTGCATAATTTAATTTTCAATTAAAATGTTATATCCAGGCTTTGACACAGGATTTACCCAAGTACTCACTTCTCTTTACTTGCAAGAGTCAGTTGTATTGCAACAGTGCTTTACTACCACAACCTCATAACACCAAGTTGTGGGTGAAATGTTACTGTTTGAGTCCAGGAACACATTCATTTTCATTTCTCTGTGCCATTCCTGGTTTAGTGTAGGTTAGAGAACATCCAGCTGCAAACAGGAAACAAGCTTTGACGTCCTGATTTCCTCCTCACATCATCTGTGAGTCATGTTGGTCACACTGCCAGCTCCAGAAAAGGAGCTAAAGTTCAGGGAAACTTCTCTGCAAAACGTTATCCTTTTTATTCAGCCTAACACAAGTCAGCAAATAGATAAATACAGTAAGTGTAGGTGAGTTTCTTCACCTCCAAATCCCTTATTTCCTCACTTCCAAATTCCCTGTATCATTTCTCTTCAAAAGTCAAGCATTTTTTATTCTCTTTTCAAAACCCATTGCTGGGTCATCACTTCTGAGGCATCTATCACTTCTTTGCTGAAGGTGAAGTCCAGCACTGAAGCTGCATCCTGTGCTCCACTGCCTGTGTGCTCTGCCACAATGCAAAGCATCTCATAAACTATCAGTGGAACAACTCCTGTATCAGCTCTCCTGTCTGTGTGAAGAGTAGAAAGCAAAGGGGGGAGCTACATTTACGTACATGAAAGTACTGTTTGAATGTGCCTCCTGTTCACTCCAGATATAAGGCAACAGGATAGAATTCTTATCTCTATTACTGTCATAGGCACTGCTTTAAAATGGATTGGTATAATACTGTCTCCAGTTTAGCAGTCAATCCCTGCCTGTTCAAATCCAGCACGTCTTCACAGGGGGTAGGTCATCTTTTCAGTTGTGAGTCACTGCTCAGCTTCTCCACAAAGACCTAGATTTCAGGTCATAAGGCCACAGATCTAACAAACATGCAGGACATTTTAGTAATGATAAAATCAGTCCCTTTAAAGTGTACAAGATGGACACAAGCCAGTTTTTGGCTTGCATTGTGGCTCTTGGGCTATTAACATTTGCTCCACACAAAGATTTCGGACCCGGTGAACTTTTCCCTCCAGCACAGCTGAAGCCATTCCACAAACACCCTCTCACCCATTGGCCCAGCAGTAGCACCCTTCCCCTCCATAGGAAAGGCCCTGGGATATAATCCCACCCACAATCTGCTTTATATAAGGCCTGGTTAGAAAATTACTTCTTCATTTTTGCTTTTTTGACTGGATCTTCCTTCTGCTGTCTGGCAATGCCTGTGGATTTCAGTGGAACCTGGAACCTTGTCAGCAATGACAACTTTGAAGGTTATATGGTGGCCTTAGGTAGGTGAAAATACCTGATTCTGTCCTTCCTTCCTTCCTCCAATAAGGGTCCTTCTGAATTTTAAGAGTCTAAGTTCTTCTAAAACATAGACATTGCTTAAACTTTTTTTTTTCTTTTCTCTGAAAAACAGTGGAAGGATCTTTGTTTATTGATAAACAGACCATTACTAGAGCCTGTCATTGCAGCTTTGGGGAATTTCTCAGCCTGATCTATAGAGAGATTAACAGTGCTTTAATGGGGAGCTAAGAAAGTTCTCAGGACTTCATTAGCTCTCTTGTACAAAGCTCTTTACAGACTGTGACAGCAGGAACCTCGTGTGCTGCCCTCTCCTCTCCTACCTCTCCCACCCCTCCCTACCTTTGTGACCTGTGGGAACTGGTGACCAGCTCTGTCCCTTGGTGGTTATGGTTCACACAACTAGAAAGAAATCTATTTTCTGGCTGTATCTATACTGGGGAATCTACTTAAATTGTCTAATTGGTATCTGTAACAGAGTGAAAGGACCCTTCTCTGTTACTAATCCTGCTGTGTTATCAAGCAGAAAGAAAAAAAAAGAGGAAGTATGTTCCCATCATGAGTAATTATTCCTCAGTTAGGATACTAAATACTATACTCTAAATGTGTTAGTGTCTTCAAACCAGAGAGAGATTCTGTCTGTTCCTTGATGATAAACATTGTCCAGCTAAGTAAAGGGTTTTTTGAAACTAAATATAACTACCAATACTGTGAGAAAATGCAATTAGTTTTCAGCATGTGATCGGGGGAACTTACTTAAAAGTAGAGGGGAAGATCCTGTTGATGATTTCCACCCTGCCTTTAATCAGTCCTGCTTGGTTTCCAGCATGCTGAGCAAAACAAGGCTGAACTCAGTATTGTAGAGCTAGAATGGAACACTTGTCTGCCAGGGCAAGTAGAGGGGGGAGGTTAATACCTGACCAGCTGAAGAACTGGAGGGTTATGGATAAGGATGTGGTTATGCCAAGCCCAGCCCTTCCCTTCATTTATATCCACCTCTAAAGAACAGATCTGTAAGTAGTTTATATGTTTATAGCTTTTATAACACATTCTTAACATAAGGGTTAATGGCAATGGCTGTTGTGAGTGCTGAATCAAAATCCCTCTGTGCTGAAACGAAGTGGTAACATGTGAAAACACGCCTGCCAGATCCTGGCACATCTGGAATGCCCAGAGTGGCACAGGCTGACTCCTGGCCCATATGGTCCAACACATGGTCACTGAACACACCCTGGCAGGATCACAACCCCAGCCTGCATGAAGTGAGAAACTTCTAGTGTTCCTATAAAATCATAGTTTTAATCTAGGTGGCAAAAGCAACTAACTAAATTAATGCACAGCCCCCATTTTACCCATCCCCTGGCCAGAAACCCTAACTCTGAGCATGCTATTGGGATGTAATGTGCTTCAGCTGCCTGCCTTTTCCTCTAAGGAAACATTCACTGGAGAAATGGAAAAGACTCTGGAGGCACTGCCTGGAGCTCAGTGTTACCAGAAACATCAGGATTTTGTCACTGACTGGTCATTACAGACAACCAGGATATCTTTTGACAAGTGTGCTGGTTTATATTTGTACATAAAAAGTGCTAATAGCAAGTGGTATGTCCTGAAAACAAGCCTGAGGAATTAATTTTGGGACTGCCCTTCCTTTAGTCCTATTTAAGGTAGAGGGTGCAGATAGTTCTTGTTAACTCCTACATTTCCTTTCCTTCGACAAAGGATGAGAATAGGCACTAACTATTCCCTCTAACTAAACAAGGGGTAAGTCTGAGACCAAGCTTGAGGTGTTTGTGTGTGGCAAACCAACTCCTAAAAGGAGTATTTTGACCCAAAGTCCTATAAATCTTGCGTAGGAATTGGGCAACAAGTAAACTGGTTTCCAAAGAGTAAAATGTACAAGAGGATGTCTAAATCTGTGTAATCTGCAGCTTTGAACAGAAAAAAAGGTTCTGACCAAGCAACAAAACTACCTAAGAGATGCCTCTAGTAGTAAATCAGGTTAAATGCTGGCTGTCCAAATGGCTGGTAATAAATACGACTCTGACCTTTTTACCTCCTGTCCAAGGTATTGACTTTGCAACACGCAAAATAGCCAAAGTGCTGAAGCCTCAGAAGGTGATCAAACAAGATGGTGATTCATTCCATATCCACACCACCAGCACATTCAGAGATTATCTGCTGGAGTTCAAAGTGGGACAAGAGTTTGAAGAGGATAATAAAGGCTTGGATAACAGAAAATGCAAGGTAAGAATGCATATGTAAAATCAAGAGGCTGTTACAAAATTAAGATGCCCTGATCAATCCAGATACTTGAGCTGAAATTGTTTAAAGAATAATCTTTGTAATGCAGCACAGAGGTAGGAGCCTGAGTTACAGACAAGGAGTTTCACTTTCACTCAGGAGTGGTATTTAGGTCCTCTTTTATGTAGGAAAATAGACACTGTCTATGAGTATTTTGCAAAACTGAGACAGAGGTGCAGAAACACTTCTTTGTTTCCTGTTCCACAGAGCCTGGTTACCTGGGAAAATGACAAACTTGTCTGTGTCCAGACTGGTGAGAAGAAGAACAGGGGCTGGACTCACTGGCTTGAAGGAGATGACCTTCACCTGGTATTGACTTCAAATTCCTACTAATTCTGTCTCTACATGACCAAAATAAGGTCTATAATGTGGTCACAGTGTGCACAAGTCTTCTAGCTCAGTAGTATTTGTAATGGATGATACATGGCAAGCACATTCTGCTTTGAAACAACTTCACTGTAATGTCAAGTATAAGTTATTATACGTGGCCAGTGGGGGCAAAGAATTCATGTTCATTTTTGGAAGCAGCTCCTTTGACATCTCAAGATGAATTGCTGCCTATTTGATATT